AGAGGATAACAATTATAATACCATACCTTCGATATAAACATATATTATGTAGTCATTGGACATTTCATATTCTCCGTCAACGAACAATAGTTACAATATTACTGCTAAAGAACCGTTGCTTTAGCTGTTCGATACTTAATATGGAACATGACACAAACCATAACATAGTTCCAAAATAAAATCATTGGTTGAATGAGTAACACCGATTTTTGTTGTAAACTCGTATAATAATTTTTGTTTGTATTGAAAATCTGACAAGTTCACAACAAAGAGTATACCATCCGACCAACAATCTATGTTTTAGTCAAATACAACTGCCCTGTAGGCAGCAAGCTTTTTCATGATAAGAAATACAACTCTCCAAGGCACTTATCCTCTCTCAAGAATGAACATTTTTACAGTCCCTTGTTCCAACTACGGCCGATGTTGGCCATTTTTTTTAATATGCCATATATCGGTTACTTTTATTTTATTGGTAAGTCTCTCTGTTAGTATTTACGAATATGCGATACGATAGCAATAATGCTTGATGGGTGCTGATGGTGTTTATAACAGAATCTAGTGTCAACGTGGAAAAATCTTCATGTATGCCACATCACCAGTTGTCCATTGCTGATAGTATACGCGTCCTGACAGGGTTTATCCTAATAATGAACCTTCTTAATATCTCGAGAGTGCCACCTTTTTTTTTATTCAATGTTAACCCAACAAATGTCAATGTCAGTTTACTAATTTCTTTTATTCAACCTGTCTCGATTTTAATAGTGCTTTTCCTATATGGTAGAAATATCGTTGGGTCGGGCAATGGCCACAGATGATTTATCAATGTAAGCTATAATTGAAGCTGCCTACATGCTTTCACCATTTTGCTAATTATTTTAATATATCAACGCGTAGCGTCATCTCTCGTCATCCTCCCTGTTATTGGAGACCATATCACGCATATCTATCGCGATAATGTAAGTAAGGAATAAGCTTCATTGATATTGTAAATATTACTTATTCCCATCCTAACTCTTTAATTTATTGTCATCATCAGACGCACAATTCCCCGTAGTCAGAATGGCCGATACAAATAAATGGCCACGAAAGATTGGTAAGTATATTTACATACTCAATTTTTTTTCTTTTCAAAAAGATGAACTTTTAATAAATTGCGAATGAAAATTTTTTATCACAGGCCAGTTGCCGCAGGGCCTCAACACGGCGTGAGACGAAGAAAACAATACAACACGCCGCGGAGGAGGCTTTGGAAAATGTTTTCCTTGAAGTAATTAACGCGAACGTTTACAGGCCGTCCCACTTTTCCGAAGCTGGGATGAATTGGTAAATATATTTCACATTGTCTCATATGTTTTTCTTTTCGACCACGTGGGCATTATAATAATTGTGAATAATTTAGACAGAATTTAGACAGAGGCTACTTACATGATTTTACTCATGTTCATACGTTATAATAATCGTGAATGAATCTTTCTTATCCTCAAATAAATAGCGTGATGGCACAGCTACCACAGTAACGGCACGGAAGGGACGTCGAACATGGTCCCGTAAATGAATCTTTCTTATCCTCGGATAAACAGCGCGATGGCACAGCTACACAGTGGGGCAGCAACGGCACGGAAGGGACTTCGAACACTTGTCGGTCTCTAGATGATTACACCTAATGAGGACGGAGTAATGGGGGAACCCAACGATGACCAACCAGAATAATTTTTAATATCTAGAATATCAACTTGTTCTTTGTACTGATACATATAAATAAACATATATAAATATTTTCGACCAATGTGGTTTGAAAATGTATGTTCGGGAAAAGAAACAGCATGGCATACGAGGCTGGATTATGACACACATTATTTGGAGTATCGACCTTACTTATAGTAATAGTATCAACACCAGTCTTGTTCACAGTTTTCAACGACTCGACATAGTTTTTGGGTCTTGATATAATTACTACTACGACTCATTCCTCATGTCTATCACCATCACCCTAACGCTTCAACGCTTCACTCTCGTGTGATGTAGAATTCTCTTAACAGTGTATGATAAATTATATAGAAAGGACAAAAGAAAAGTGGAGATTTCTATATAGTTGTCCACTTTATATTTACAGGAATTTTGTTCATTTAAATATATTGTATATTGCAAACAACTCGCAGAATTTACAATCATGTAATAATGAGTTGTTTTTTTATTTGAAATAAAAATATTAAATACATATTATGAGCGACGGTCATTAAAGACTTGATCTTGCAACGTATGTAAGTTTTTATAATTTTAAAAACACTTGCAATCTGCGTTAAATATTATTGCCTCCTTGCTTGTCGTGAGAGATATTACATCATCCGACATGTGACATATATCCGCGATATATCGATGACGTACATTGAGTTGCTGTATGATTGTATCATGTCAATGTAAATTTCAATACATCAATAATTGCGATGATAGCTATTATTGTCAGGGAAATAAACGGCACCATACTGAAACTACTATCGATTAGAAGCAAGTGTAATAACCGTATCGCAGGTGTGGATATTTTGCAAACAATTTGGCAAGAAACAAGAAACGATAAATATCAATGTCGAAAATTAATTTAGACGAACTATAAGTCTTTATTATTGTGAATTCCCAAATACCACATGATGGTTTACGCATCAAACTAAGGTGATATAAAATTTTATACTAATAGTATCTTCGCTGAGAGTGTTTGTAAGATTTAATTATTCACATCTCAACCTCAGAATTTCTTATTCGTTGTAAAATAACCTTATAAATCGTTCATCGTATATACCTCTTAATACAAATCATTATTACTACTACTACTTAAATTATCGCCCACGTTAATTCACGTAAACGAAATTGTCCTTGACAAACAGCCATTCGAAACAATTGCGTTACTTTCTGCACATCCAGACGCAGTTCAATCGAGTATTCTTCTATAGAACCTTGATTTATTACTTCGATAAAGTTGATACGCCTTTTCATGATCTTTGCTACTCCGATGCCATCTTCGTAACATCTTGCCAAGTCCTTCTCTAGGTCATATCCCCTTTCGTAACATGCGCCAAGTCTATATTGTGCCTCAGGGTGGCCTCGGGACGCCGCTAACTGAAATAGTTTTGGAATACGGCAAGGTAGAATTACGCACTAGAATTTCCCCGTCCGGCCACGATTGAAGCAAAACAATTCGTTCTCTTCGCCCCTCGCCGTAATAATAGCACAGAGCAAGATTATGTAGTGCAATAAGACGTTCCCGTTTGGCAGCTCCTCGTTAGTAACTGACTTCTGATCGTCTCTGCTTTACAGTTTTTATAACAATCGGCCAAGCGACATAAGGCACCAGTATATCCTTGTTGAGCAGCTCTTTTATAGTCTCATCGTTCTCTGATCATTTCTTCTTACACCATCTCCAGATTACCCCAGCGACATAGGGCAACAGCATGTCCTTGTTGGGTAGCTCTTTGATATAGTTCAAATTCTTGTCTTGAGATAACCATTATCGGATAAGTCGTATGCTTTATTGTATGGTATGTAGCGTGGTATGTTGTGTGTTTTATGTTGTAGTATTGTTGTAGTATGTTATGTGTATAGTATGTGGTGTCAACCGACTCATTATTCTGCCGGGTATAAAGAATTACAATGGAATATTCATATTAGCATTGTTTCTCATTGAGCTGTTGACATTGTAACTGGAATTGAATGTACGCTAGGTTGCTCTGGCGCAACGATAATAATAGACTTACCATATAAATACAGCAATGGACGAAGCCATTGTTCTGATATTAAATTCTCTCTAACACCGCAGGAGTATCGATTGTCGTATTTAGCTCATAGTGATAACAAGAGATTACCCGTAGTGATGGCGAGATGCATATTGATATGCGACAAGATACTGCGTAAGTCGCTGTTGAACCATGACAAGAAAGTTCGTTCATGTGTATTAATAGAGTATCCAATGATGTATACTATGGAGTCAGGAAGTTATCCAGCCTTTTTCCCATCCTACGCGGCTCCATGTGTGTGTTTTATAACTGTCAGCGGAACTTCTCGCAGGGTATTGATAGATTCGAGTAAATGATTTGCCGGTGAGAATTCAAGACCGTTCAGTCTTCTACTTGTTTGTACTTAAATATATTAAAGTCGCATTTCAAACTCTTCTGGGATGGCCAATTTTGTTTGGCGTATCGTCGTATGCCAGCAATTCTTCTTTAGTGCAAAATAGGCGGATTTCCTGTATTCTTCTTCAAAAAGCTCTTGCAATTGCTTGGCTTCGTATTCTTCAATTTGTTAGCTCCATTATATCCAAGAAATATGGCCTTCATATGAATATCACAAGTATTATATATTGTATAGTCGGCTGAGGGATGTGTAGTATAGGTTGTGTAAGAAATGAGTAGCGTTATATATTGTACAGTCGGCTTATTATTATGTAAGAAGTGAGTAGCAGGCTATATGATATAAACTTGTGGGAAAAGAATGTGTGTGCCTCTATGGAAGTAAAGCAAAAATTTTACCGCCCTTCTAAATGTTTCTATAGCATGTGACTGTCTATAGTAGACCTGTGATTTGTATTACACGTGACTAGATTCTTGTACAGTGCTAATAAATTTTCGAAACTAGTAACATATAAATGATTGTGATGTGTTTTATAAAGATTAGGCCTTGTTGTCAAAAAGGTACGTTCATTCTATTTGCCAATTACTAAGGAGACGGAACAAAATTAAATTTTCTCTGCTTTCTAGTACACCACCACAAACAAGGAGATCGAACAATACGACACAGATAATATGAAATTTCTTCTAACTCTACAGTCCGATGTGTTCATACCATGTGGGCAGCCAACGAGTGCCATTGGAAACGATTTGAAAGGGATTGTACATTCATCACTTAACAATATACGAACGTCAGTCGTCAATCAACCCTAGCCGGCTCATTGGACAAAACCCAAACGCGCCGCTCGCGTGATATCTAATTTGGACAGATCAACCTATAGTATGTCATCGTTGCTGCACCGCGAGGCTATTACTGCTACGTACGAGAATATTGCAGGACTATTAAAAGACTATCTAATGAAGCCGGTTCAATCTCAAGCTTTCTCAACGCAAATCCGGACACCCACTCAATGTCAGACAGTTTTGACGACGAACCGACTTTTCATCCTCAGGTCTTCTCGCATGCCCCCTCAGTTTCCATATCATCCGCTTCAGCTTCATCATCTTGCATCTCTCATACCACCGCGCCCAATCACGTCGAATTCTCAAACTGGACCCTCCCGGTCGCGTGGGAAGACAAGTTGATCCGTCCATTTGAGGGCGAATGTTGTGTTCAGATGGTCGATGGATAATCTTACGAATAATACCCTGTCAGAGCAACGGTTGGAAACAAAACAAGTTGGGATCGAGCCTTACACTGAGTATGGAAACGATGATCTTATGCAAAGAACAGCGAAGACAGGAATGAGAATGTATGCCAACAATAATTTCAGGTTACAAAGCGGACTATTATATCTACTGCATGTAGGACTCGGAGTGAGCGCGTGGGTTCATAATCATGGTGATGATGCTATAGTGATGGGTGAGAATAAACAGGAAGCACGCCATGAATTGTCATGGATGAAAATATATACCAAAGATGCGTAAAGATTTTGAACTAATAAATTCTCCAAAAACATGAGAAATTGACAGACCCGACTCTACGAACAGCATCCCCATTAAAATGAACTTGATTAAAGCTCTCATTTTCCCGACTCGGAAAAATCCAGATTTCGGAACTGCACAGTAGAAGACCGTCGTCGTTCGCTCTAATCTACTGCATGATGGTGCAATTTTTGTAGATATGGAGAATGGGGAAGGTATAGGACAGTGTTACCGATATCCTATTGGAAATTAGGATAGATGATGTAAGAACGTTTGAATTATGTCGGGAGCGGGGATGCACGATATGTGCGCCTGGTATCAATCATTCCATCTATATCACCAAACTGCAGAAGAAAACGATTCAATTATTTATGTGATATTGAATAGATATTTACGATAAGAACTGGTAAGGTAGTGAATATCTTATATTCAACATTGTCAAATAAGTCGTATGCTGTCTAATATTGTGAGCAAACGATTATTGATATTATTATAATTACGGTTAAGGTGAAATGGACCTTTGAGCATATATTACTAATATTTGTTAGTATTGTCCATTTTAGATGGTGGCTATACGGAACTTCTTGGATTTATGAGAGTTGAATCGGGTTCTGGAGCGTGTGCATATTTCTTGGTAGGATGTCCTTGTTATAAATTGTTCTCTCTTAAAATATTGAGCTTATGCCAGATGATTTTTTATTTCGCAACAAAACAACATAATTATCACGATTTATGACGTGAAATTACCATTAACAATTTTTCATACTCTAAGAAAGAGGAAATGTATAAACAAACAACAGTCGTTCAATTACTGTTTAGATTTATCGTGTTTTGGCCCCCAAATTAATATATCGTTATTTGGTTTGCTAACCAAAGTATCTGTTTCACGTCCCCACGGGATGTCATATAACTTGTAAAGTTGATAGAATAAAGGAAAAAAAATAGCCTTTAGCAGGCCAATCGTTCTGATAGCATGAATTATCCGTCAAATTTGACAGTCTCGTGACTGTAAAGTCAATGTTGTTAAAAAGATCCAGAGATTCCTAACATAGGGAAGGGATAACGTAAAAGATTCAGTCATTATGTTTAGAAACGCGAATACTCATTCAATTATTTTTACTTGAAACTTACATAATTGCAACTGAATATATTTAAGATGCAAACTATAAATTTCTCCTGTCCATACGTGTCGATCAACGATTGTATCGATGTCTTATTATTGAATCTATTGAATCCATTGAATAATCGTGGTTCGATAACATCTGGACGATGGTCTGAATTGTGAGGTAGGATTCATCGGTGTCACTGTATTCATTGAGCTATACCAATGATTGGCAGGACTCGACGTCATAAATGGCCTGCCGTCAATAACAGTTGAGGTAGAAGTATTCGCCGATGTCGTTGTATCCATTGGCTATACCAATGATTGGCAGGACTCGATGTCACTAATGAACTGCCGTCGCTGGCGGTGGACTGAATTGTGAAGTAGAAGCATTCATTGATGTCGTTGTATTCATTGGGCTGTACCAATGATTGGCAGGATTCGATGTCATTGATTGCCATCAATGACAGCATTGTGCATTTCTGGTGCGAGTGATGTAGATAGCAGAGCGACTGAGATGAAACAGAATCGTCTGTTAATGTTGGCGAGTCAACTCGATCTTCTGATGGTGTATGTAGAGAAGGATAAGGAGAGTCAACTTCCAGATTATCTTGTGTTCAGCTGAATCAGGGCAGAAATATGGTTTTAATACCTCAATATCATGTTTAAATTTTGATGCCAACAAACTGGCCTCATCTGTGTTTTGTGGACTTTTAGATGTTGGCAAAGAGCTTCGTTCCTGACAAAACCAGCTCTTAATGACATTCTTGGCGTTGCATTGTTTCTGATTGATATCTTCCTAACTTGCAAGGTTCGTCACTAAAGTATTCTTCTGATGTCAACTTCGAGGTTGATTCATCACTAAAGTATTCTTCTTCTGATAGTTGTTGCGAGGACTAGAGAAGTGTCTTGTATCGACAATGAGTCGTAAGCGCTGCCATCGGCGTTAGCGTTAGATTTTATAGGTGTGTTTTTAGATGTTTGTTTGTCGGATAGGTGGGGGGGGTACCGCCGTTGTGTTAGAGGGCAGCAATTTCGTAGGTGGTCACGGGCCCGTGGAGACAGCCAGGAGGCTGTTGGACTATTTCGAACGTTTTTGTTGCTCCATGTTGGAGAAAATGTGTTTCGGCAAGTCACATGATAAAATCTGCCGACATCTTTAATCACATGACTCATATAATCGATTGTTGTTGCTTGTCATGTATATTTACTATCGAATCAACCTAACATTGACCTCCCATGTTTATCCATCTAAGCGTGTAATCAGCCTCGAATTCTCTCCTTACTGGATGCAATGGGTATGTGGACAGTTCGATATCGGAAGGAATTCATTGACGAAGGAGCGAGATTTGATTTTGGCAAAGCCGGGAGTAGTATGGAAAAGATGTTCGATAAATATTTGTTTTGTTATCTAAAACCACGAGGACGATGCTGTGATTTGCTCAAACGAAGAAGGAAGATTTTTACATTCATTGGTGATTATCATATGTTGACGTTCTTAATCCAACCACGCCCACGATGTCTACAGTCTTTTCGTCCAACTCGACTGGCTCCCGTTTTCCTTGTAATAACACATAGCACGAGATCCCATCCACGTCGATGCTGGAGATAACGCTCTGAGGCTTCAAATTCTTCAATAAAAACGATTCTGTCTCTGCTATCGTTGGACCGAAGGCAACTCATGCAAATAATGCGAGAAAACACATATCCCTAAGTCGGGACAACGGCCGGTTAAGTTTGGATCTTAGGTTTTCGGGTTAAAGTAGATCACCAACACTAAGTGATGAATATAATATTTTTGATAATTAGTTTACTATATCAATTTGACATTTTAGAAATTTCTGGAAAAACTCTCAGCAATTGCTGCAATTTCATATTAGATATGACAGAGCACTTTACTTGTCACCGCAGACGACAAAAACATCCAATACGTACCATTCACGTAATATTATGTTACCGTTTGCAATTTTCCTGTATTTTCGCAAGACACTGATGCTCCAAATACTTCACCATTCGTAGATCTACAATCGTTTGCAGGACAAAACCCATCCGTCAAGTGGTAACGCAGACCGATGTGCTGGTTAACGAGAGATTATAACTCTGGAACAGATCAAATGGCGAAGAGTATGGATCTTTTGCTGAGTTGTGTTTGTGCGGTGAGTAGTCATATGGAGAAAAGGTGGACTATTGTGTGCTAGCTAACCGGGTGGGCGAAAGATAAAACCAAATGTGGGGATATTGATAGAGTCAAATAAATTGGGACATGGCAGTATTGGAAATATAACACAAATACCGAGAAAGATTGCAGTTATTACACGAGTTATTATACGCACAAATGGTCGGCGTTTTGCTCGAAAATAGCTTTGCGAATCCTTTGGGCTTATCCAATAGATTTGTCGAAGAAGAGATGGTAAGGAAATATCTAGGCTTTTTAACTGAACAAATCGATAGGCAGTGGTTATCATCTTACCTAAATGCAAGATTGCAGATTCCGTGGAATCGAAAACGATATGGATAGACGGTTTCCTCTGTAATACTGTAATGTTCACGCTTTTCTCTAAGTTTCACTAGTGAAATCCACGAGGAACTTTATGTGAATCGCAGATAAGTAGCAAAACGACGGTACCCGAAAATTGCTCATATTTGATATTAGGGATACAGTAAATATGAAATCTTACCATATATTGTGATTTTTTGGTAACATCCCATTAACCAATATTATTTCAACTCTCATTATAGTTCTTGTTTACCTATTCAACTACTTTGATGCTCTTTTAACAATCTCCCCTGCACGTTCTAGAAGCATTCTGTCTATACATGTGGCTTCAAAATTCAATAACTACTCTACTGTATGTTCAAGATTTCAAGAGTGCTTACGTCGAGCTAAGGACACTGCTATACTTTATATTCAGTTAAACCTAACTTATTTATTATTGTTCGCACCCCTTTCAAAAATTTTCTATAAAAGGAAATTGGCGGATCGCATAAAATTAATATTAAGTCTCCTTGAACAACTTAACTTTCTTCCTTCTATAATGGGCAAACTACCCTCGCCACGGAAGATACTAATGTGCAGCTTCCGCTACTTTGTCTGAGTTGAGAAATTTTTTTCTCTGGATACGGTCAGCTGGAAAGAATAACCATGGGCACGAAAGAAGTTGGCACTATATAATGGGACAGTATACGTTGTTTATAGGTAAGTTTCGTGTTATTTAAATACGTATGTTTGATTGATTTAAGTAACAATAATACGAATATTAATATCAATTTATCCTGCCCTCATTATATTGAAGATCTCCCCCAGAAACATGGTTTTGGAAAGAAAATCCAAGTCTTCGTGGCAGGCACTTGGAGATAGAAGTTGTGACGGGGGGTCCTGAGGTGGTCTAGCTCCGCGGTTTCCCCACTTCCGCGGCCTGGGTCGGCTTTTCCGGGTCTCGTCCCCTAGACCCCAGTAAAATGTCTCAAGAGAATGCAGAATGCAAGATTTCCTAACTATATGTAAGACGCTCGTTACGAAACGTGCATACGATACAGACGTACGCGGTCTGATAAATCAATATGGTGTTATGACTGAATACGAGGTTGCCAGTGGATTCACATCGTAAAGATGGAGCATAAGAAGCTGCGTGAAATACAGAGAGCAGTCAGTGAAGCGATGGCCGGAATTCGGCCAAAAAATTTGACATCTTTGCCGAATATTCTGTAAAATCAGCAGCCGAGGCTAAAAACCAGGTGGATATTAAGCGCAAACTGGAAGCGAGGGCCTGTGCTTGGTATTATGTTACTTATCGTCAGAGCGAGAGGTTTCGAGTTCTTTATTGATCACACATGGGTGAACCCTTATTTACGAGAGAGGTGATTACTGTAACGATAACATGATTTCCTTCCCGTGAACGGTTGGCGACCATTTGTGTGACATAGCAATTCGCAATTCTGGCTGAGTTGAATGTTTTTCGCGGATCTAGATCAATTGCAATAATTCAAGAATAACTTCCCAGGCGGAGAGCCAGCTAGTGGTGGGGAATATCTGGAATTCGGCAACGGAACGGAATCTAGAATCCTCAATCTGGATAACCAATGACAAATATGAAAACGAAATCTACTTATTGAAGTCACTTCAAATATTAAGGTTAGGACACTACCAGTATCTTCTTTACGAATTATAAGAGACTCCGGTAAACAAAGAATTTTCATATGAAACGAACGGTGCGCAAGAATCTGTCCGTTTCCGGTATAAACAGAGTTGACTGTATATATTAAAAAAAATTATTTATATAAAAAACCAAAATATAACAGAACAAGCATTTGCGTTATCACGGAACTATCATACACATCGCTTGCGTTTTATGCGTTGATATAAAAATAAAAAATAACTTGGTAATACGAATTCCTCATCGATCACATTTTGTGGATTAAGTTCTTGATAATTAATGCAAACTACCTGTATAATAACCTTGCTTTTCTTTACTGCCGACTCTGATTCTATGTGAAAACAACATTCAGTAAAGCGCAATCGAATATTGTTTATACAGTATATCTAAAACCACAAGAATGGTATTTTTAAGATTTTACATTTATTAGACTTATTCTTTCCACAACCCAATCAGCCACGCTTACGACGCCTTTTCAACTGGCTCGTCATTTCTCTCGCATCTATCCAAAGATAACCCTATGCCTAACTTATAACCTTGGCGAATCCTGGTCCGAGACCCATTCTCTTTACAGACGTCAACGAAGACGATAAAAAGGCGATTGATTCTGTCTCTGATATCTGTGATGTAAATGAATACTTATTGACTTGCGTTGAACCAAGGATGCCCCATACAAATTATACGAGAAAATACATATTCCCAAGTCGATTTGTCTAAATTGTCACTAATATTTGAGAACAACGGTTGATTGAAAGTTTGATTTCTGAATGTTCCGATGCTAAAGCAAGAACTCTTATCATGAACAAACTATCACTACATGCTTCTGAAACAATAATAACCGTTCCGCTACGGTGTCTCTAATGTTGAAGCTTGATGATAATTTTTGTGTGTGGCCAGAGGATCCTATTCCATAGTCTGCTTCAATTGACAAAGAGGAAAGGACAACAGCGTCTCATACCGTTCATTATCCTGATCGATGCCGAGCAATCCATTTATATAATACGTGCTGTTCGAATATGTATTTCAGTTTTTGTATCTGGTTCTTCTACCGTCAGCCTAAGTGATAGTGGCAAGTTTTGCGGCCATGCGGTAACATTTCAAGTAAAATACAGCTTTCTTGTTCATCGAGCGCTACACCCTTTCCAAAGTACCTTCTTCCGATTTGAATATCCTCCAGGGCGCCAGCGCTAATCGAGTGCGGTTTTGCGTCTAGTTAGCATATTTGATTTTTCTAATGTCAATCGCGCTTATTATGCATGACCCACGTGATTGAATAACGCTTATCCAAAAGTGCTAATTTGACATTCTCAAGCTACGCTTCCATCTCCTATAACAATGAATAAATTATTTGCGGCAGTTTCCTAGTATCCATCATCCGAGTCTATATCATATCTCACGTTTCTTCCTTTCTGTAACTTGAACTTTTACATTTCGAGAATCTCCACTGATCTACCATGACCATAACGCGTAAGTGAACTTTACCATCAAAATAGTGTAATCCATGAATCTTTTCTTAGTGGCTTATCGACGTGATATTCGGGAACAACCACGGGTCGTGTTGTAAAAACTATTATATTAACTCCTTAAGAACATTCTCCAAGAAAGAATAATGCCTACTGAAGTGGAGAAACAGAGACAAGTAAAACATTGACTGGACGTTTGTACGAGAGTGGCCGAATATTTAAAGACTGAGATATAGGTGAGTGATACCTTCGTAACCGTGTTATATTGTGTAGGGAATCTGGTCGACGTTGAAGACAATGCTAAATGGTGGTTATTGTTGCATTCTGATTATAAAAACTATAGCAGACTGTTATGCAATTATGAACGATACAGATGAACAGCCCGGTAAAATATTTAAGCTATTAGCAACTTCATACGTATTCTAGACGATATCACAATCTTTGTCTCAACGTTCTGGATACGACACTATGGGATAATGAGAATTCATCGTTGGCTTTTGTCCTGGCAAACTTTCAAGAGTCCTGAGAAGCCGATAGCGAACAAGTACCGTGAAGGAAAGATGAAATGAACTTTGAAAAGAGAGTGAACAGTACGTGAAATTGTTGAAAGGGAAACGCGTGCCGTTGGCAACACCAGTTTCGGAGCTGCGAAAGGACTCTGTTAAGATAGCCCTTTTAGGGAGTGTTATAGATCGAGCATATACTGTGGAGCAGACCGAAACAACCAAAAGATAGTTTTTTGGGGGTGTTTTTTTTTTTTTGGATATGTGAGTAGCTCTACTTATACTTGTAATTGATGTCTTAGTTTCTGTGAGAGAATTGTTGTGAGAGTAATGAGCAATGGTTGGGGATTATATGGGAGTTTAATGGCTTCGATATTAGATAAGAGTTACTGTATTTACTGCTGGCAATAGTGTTAACATGTAAATTCCAATCTTCTTGCTTGGTTTCAGCATAACGTTACAAGCAGCCGATTACTTTGGAATTAACAGATGTATGTTCTGTATTTAATAAGTACGGATCGAAACAGAAGGATCTAGTACAAATTCTCTAACTTATCTCTATATAGCATGGATAATTGAATTGATACTGAGAGAATAAATTATTGTATTTTATTACAGATATACATGTCGTCTAAAGAATTATGGACTCGACCCTCTTCGTCGTAATTTGTTGGACATGCAATCTAGCTCACAGGAGTAATTGAAAACAGCTAGTTGTAAGATCTATCTGCGTACTTTGAATTTCATCGGCGCGGCACCGACCCGTGTACCTTCAATTTACGTTTGTGCAGGCAACGAAGAAAGAGCAGATTTTATTCTGTGCGTTACGACGACCTCATTTGTATACTTCTGCTCCTTCAGTTCTACTTTCACATAAGTAATTCTTCGGCGCACGTACAGTATGTATTCTCTTGTCACTCCTGGATCTTTGCAATTATCGCACGCAGATGGTCAGTATCACTAACGTATCTTCTGAATACAGCTCCCACGTGAATGATGTAGGGTTGCGAGCATGTTAACTATCTGTTCTATCCTTTATGGATTTGGACTTGCGGTTAAGTTTTAAGCGCATAGAATGATTAAGAGAGTCACACATGTAACAGCATTATCTTACAAGTCCTCAATCGACGTCGGTCGGTCAAGTGTGAATTCTATTATAGCTCCAAAGACTATCGTTAATGGCGATTATGGCTGCACACTATCTATGGGATTTGTATTATCTATAAAATCAAAAATTCCCGACATCTTACGAAATAATGGAAATTATCAGGAAGTTGTTTAATATTTACACGCCTTATGAGAAAGACATTCAACTGCTGGAATCAAATGTTCCTACACCGAGATACCAGAATATCTTGTAGCGGGATGGCGAGAATGTCAATTCTGCTACAAGCGTTAAAATGGCCAATCGAAGTGAATATCCATGATGACGATACTGAAGCAATTGATATAACGGACATGTTGATATTTCTGGGATACACATCTAGATCTAATGGCAGTGTTATGATTGCTCATACAGTGACCATCCGGTTCAATGAAGTCTTCAATATAGGCAGACTCTTCGTTCAAGCAAAGTCGATTCTAAATTTGGTAACCAAATTTGGTACTGGTGAGTAACAATCCATTTACTGTTATACAATAATCCGTCCATTGAACGGATTTTGTCTAGAAAAACCATATTATAAAACTGTATCAGTTTAACCGGATTTTCAACATGTACCGTAGGAAAGGCGCGGCATGCCCCAATGTACACGAAACGATGACGTGAAGTAAAAGGAGCGAGGTATACAATCAATCACAAGTTTTCCATATCACATAACTGAGCCTATGGCCTTCCTTGGCACAGACAAAGAATACCGCGTGCAAGATCAAGCAAATGGGTGCCGAATTCTGTCAAAGATAATTGTATGAATACGAATAACTAATTTAATGCAAACAATACAAATCATCATTTCTTTGTATTGATTTCTTTGTCAATTTTGTATGGTGCTGATTCATTGCAGCATTCGGCGAAAGATTCCCGCTGTACTGCATTTATGGAACATGCGTCGCCAAGAAAAATTCAACAAAGAGCTCAAGTTACAGGAACTTGTGAAGCATTTTTAACTGCCAACGGAAATGGACATTAGGGACCCGAGTCCAATGGACATAAACTTACGCGATATCAATAATAGTAAATTCCAGTTTACTTTTTATGCCAATTCAAAATGCAAGGTACGTTCGTGATCCAACATTAAAAGAAAACGAGGACATTTTATCGATATAATAATAAAAAACTTTTTTTGATTCAAAAAAGAAAAAAGAAGAACATCTCTATTCTTTTCACGGATTCATTCTGATATGCTAGTGCCTAAATATAACAGCAACAGATGACATCTGACACGCTTGGGATAGATAACTTTACCCAACCCTTGCCGTCCGAGTGTGAGTAAGGATAACTGATAATGTATATTGAGTACTCTATTCCTTTCGCTTATTGAATTTGACTATATTCTCTAATTTAGTTTTCGCAGCCGACTTTTCAATCTTGACTTGGTATCGACACGCAAGTCGGTATATAATTCCAGGATCGTTTATACGCGTTATTAAGCGAGGATGATGGATATTGAGCATCCAGATTGAAGATGAAGATGTTTTTACTATAACCACCAGACATTACTAAAGAAGTCTCCACTATATTCTCTACTATATTCTCAAGGGATCATTATTATTAAATAGAGATTTTCTCGCTTAATTATTCTATTCCACTATAGTACGTAATAAGTTGATTTCAAAGACGATACAACCTTTTATTTATAGTTAGGACGCACACTCACATACTGTAAATTTCCGGTCCGTAAATTTCGTCAACTCGACAACGTTAGTGTCTTGATAAGATAACTTTTCCAAGTTGAATTGTTGATGGACTCATCGTGTTCGACTTGTATCTCCATAATCACATATCATCCAGAGTCTAATGACTGTAAGGAAAGCGCGACTTGTTAACGTCACAATTTATTTCATTATTTACATCGAAGCAAATGATAAGAGACTTGTATTTTGTGGGTTATTTGATTTTTATTTTTATTATTATTAATAAAGCGATACATAGTAATGATTACAAATGATAATTATTTTAAATATTTTATCCAATAAGAATTGTCCAACGGTTGGTCGAAGCAGTTGAACGAAAGCCCATCCCCGATATTGAGACATCTATCAATGTCTGTAGGAGCCAAGGGCAAAGATAAATCGAGCCGACAGAATTGTCTTGGCTCCGCCGCCCCGGGCCCCCCGCGGTCTCGTTGATTTCTGCTTCTACTATCTTCTGTTGGATAGTGGCAGAATCGTTTTACACGCAAAAGCGCGCGCGCCGTTGCGATTATCGAGGTCACCGAAAAGATTTTGAATTGGGCGACGCTCGAAAATTTTCTGGGGAGATGTGTTGGAGGGCCGCCAGACGTTTTGGAAGGCTGGGGAGGCGTGTTGGATATCCGGGAGGGCGTGTTGGATATCCGGAAGGGCGTGTTGGATATCCGGGAGGGCGTGTTGGATATCCGGAAGACGTGTTGGATAGCCGGGGCGTGTTGGACGTTGTCCGTTCGGCTTCTGACGTACCCACGGGAGATTTGCCTTGGGGTACGCTTTGCGCTTCGTCGAAGTTTTTCTCCTCCGGATTTTGAGAGAGGATGTGTATAATAACATTTGTGCTTAAGGATAAAGTTGACACGACAAAACAGATTATCCAGATTTTCACTTTTATATGATTGACCAATCACCTGCATCATTCGGACGTATATCTCCGGTACAAGGAATAATATTAATATGGTATGTGTACGAGTCCGATGACATTGTGTAAGCGCTCCCACACACAAATAACTGAATCGAGTATTCTGTCATGCCAAACAAGTTTTACCTAAACGAGCAGAGAATGTAAAAAAATACAAAAAGAGACTGGCTGTAACACTGTTACCATTGTCAGTCAATAGCTAGCAAAAGCACAAAGCCCTCATAGACATTGAATGACCCACCGAAAGAGATTAGATCAATACACAGCAATTACGCCCATTGCGCCTGTAGTGCCAAGTATATCTACCAAGTTGTGACTTTCACGTTACTATTAATATCGTAATATTAATAATACTATGTACTGTTTACATACACTATACCAAACGTTGATCTTCATGGAAGAGGGTTTATTTGGTTACATCTATTACTATGTGCAATTAATATCAATCATAACACTTACCGTATACTATATACCCTAACCCTAACCCTAATTATCCCTATCCCTTACTATAGCCAATATTTTAAACTGCAAACGTTTTTCTTGACCCAGTTATCATACGCTAGTTGGGTTGAGATCCAAGCTTTGGAAAAGAGGCATCATCTTACAGAGTTGGCTCTATTATTACAATGTTATTATTTAATTCATATCGTCATGGATTTTTCTAATAAAAATATTAGCCTCAATTTACGCCTATTACTATTGGTTACCAAAACCTGCCAAATATATCGGGTAGATGAACCTAATATATTCGTAATATATATAATAAATAGAGTCGCTTACAAATAAAAAACGTTAGTATGAGTAACATAACTGCCATTCCCACTGTAATATTCGCCGTATACCAACAAGGTTTATCAGCTCATCAGTCCATGGCCATCAGCTCAATTGTTACCTTGAGCTTAAATAGAGAAGAAGCAACAAAAACATGTTTGCTTTGATTTTCTACGAAAACATTCAAAATTCTCTGTATCTTAATGAACACAGTAGGTACAAATGACATTGACTAGAAATATAGAGCTTATGCTTTTTATAGTGACATGAGCATGTGATGTAATCGACTGTGTTTGTCGATACAAAATAGGAACGCGAGTAACCAATTGATGGTGTGACAACCTTGGATATCTACGACAATGGTAATAAAGTTGACACTCTCTTACTTTTCGCAAAGAACATCACTAACAAAGTGATTTACTACTGTTTACATATGAAAAGTGTAAATATTAACCTTTTTTTTCTCTAATTTCTAGAAAGCAGTAGCCACACCACCCCACCCCAACCATTGCCACACCAGAGCTCTGTCTACCAAGAGGAAGTGGGGGGGGGGGGGGATGGAAAGAACGGGAAAAGAATCGAAATATGCTTTAACAGATCGGAAACTCTAATAATGTTCTAGCCTCTAATATATAATCTTCCATGTCTGGGATTTATACAATCTTTCCTTATTAAATCCAGTCTTGATCTCCACCCTCCATCAATTCATCGTATGCTCGATTGTGTGTGTTCATCTCAAACTCAATGTCATATTTTGTACGTGCAATAGATTTCATATAAAAAATAATTCCGTAAATTTCACTCACATGACAAAAATTACCAAACTTAGCATCTGGCCATAAAGTTAGCGCGATGCGACAATCAAGGTCAGTATTTCAACCAATCATAATATAGACTCTTTATTACATTATTAATAGTCGCACATTCTCTATATGCTCTCAGTCCGAGGTGGTAGGCTAGACAGTCCTGCCTTTCTCCATTTTCCCTCTCCCATATTCTTCACAGCATGATGTATTAGCCAACTTCCTTTACACATTATTAATTTTACCCATCCATAATATATATCATGACATTCTGTAGTTCTGTGGCGTCTCTGGATACCCTGGCCAAATACCGTGCATTTGCACTCGTCATTAGAAATTCGATTGGTATTTTCTTTTCACGCAATAGTTTGGGGTTCCTGTTCGAATATATAAATAAATGAATAGTAAATCAACAATAACTACCTTGTATTTATCATGTATATTTATAATACTACCATTTACAACTGTGATGATTGGTGTCTCCCATAAAATATTTAAGAGTTCTTCCAACTCGCAGTACGCCATTGCTATTCCATTTCCGGTATAGCGGTGAGAGATACTCCGACTGCTTTACTTCATCTTTATCTATCCTCATAAATAATATTCATCACTTCGGAGTTTGCTTCATGTATTGTACGTTGATACCTGCTGTTCAACGTTTCATTGTGTAATCACACCTTACCAAAATAAAATACAACGTCGGCATGAATCAATGCCAACTGCAGAAATGTCGTTGAAGACGCTGTATGTCAGAGCCCTTTAATCTAAGCTTACGCACAACTAATGACAGTTCTGTACTAGCACCGGCTCCCTCCTGCAAATATAATGATACGTGCTTCCATGAAAGACTTCAAATATGGTATTTTTATTGTCAATAACACATGCACGTAGCCACAATATATCAGGTTTAAATTGTCTTGTGATCCGCGCTTTCACCGCGTTATTCCGTAATCTACCGCTTTTCCCGTAATAATTTAGGTAAATATGTTTATTATGACCAATAATAAACATTGTGTACTCGATTATGTACATATGTAATTGCATTGCTCGTTATGCATGTAATTGCAAATCTCGGTGACTACCGAATAGTGTCCTAGATTCAAAATTCGATTTCTCAACGAAGAAGCAAGATATTAAGACAATCTTTTATGAATCCGATGGCAGTTCTTTCGCGCTTTTCAACGGTATAAATTTGCGTAAAGGTTATGTATGTTTAAATATTCGAGTCGCATAATAGTAACCTAATCTTAAAGGATAAAGGGGTGATCGAAAAAGTCATCGTCGATCTCCAGCTGACAATTTGTTATTGTGAATGATATGCCAAACGCTAACCAATATGGAAGAACAATATCTTTCAGTTGCTGCGGTCCCATGAGCTTGGGGATATAAAACGTATACTTGGACTTGCAGACTAAACAGACATTTCCCGTCTAATACCTCCATGTTTTTACTAAACTTCCAAGTTTTTTCGTTGATAACCAACTTATCCGGTGGACGTGTTAATATCAACAACACAACACATTGTCAACTCCACCTGTCCACAAACCCCGCGACGCTCTTGCCAGCGTTTCTACCGTTTCGGTTAACATTGTCAATAGTAATAGAAGAGTTGACGAATCCGAGCGCAGTGGCCGAAACGTAATTCGGGATCACACAAAGATCCCACGGCCACAGAATCATTTTATGTTATATGCCCCCCCCCCCAATAGAAGAGTTGAAACGTAATTCGGGATCACACAAAGATCTCACGGCCACAGAATCATTTTATGTTATATGGCCGCCCCCCCCTCCCAAGTTTTAATTTATTATTATTATTATTATTATTATTATTATTATTATTATTATTATTATTATTATTATTATTATTATTATTATTAT